CTCCTTCTTGCCTGATGCAGCTCCCCAAATTCATGTCCTATAAATGCATTAGGACTTTGGCTATACTAGTTGGGAATTCTGGGACTATACCCTAACTACTAGTAATGCTTTATCTAGAGGATGCAACAAACTATTTGAACTCAGTAACTACCTGATAATTACCTCAGTAAGAGACTCATTACTTCAGTAAGAGACTATCATGTTTACCGATCCGATCGTGAAATCTGTAGAGGAGGTGGTGTTACTATCTTCTATAAAAAGTCCTTACATCTAAAAAACATCCAAGTTACCCAAGAGCTTGCTCTTCCTGAGACCATTATCTGTGAACTGACCTTAAATATCACATTTCGGTTCTTACTATGTTACAGAGCCCCTGATTATGACATCGAACATGTAAACAAGCTAAATACACGACTAACATGGGCAGCATCCTACCCACACACTTTTATCTTTCTTGGTGACTTCAATCTACTCATATTAACTGGACCCTAAATGAATGTACAACTGAACCCATACATGCAACCTTCTACAATGCTGTAACAAATCTGGGACTGGAACAATTAGTAACGAACAATACTAGGCTTAACAACTGCCTCGATCTCATCTTCTGCAATAGTTTGAATTCAATTTACGGAATACAAATTAAAGAACCCTTTTCCAACAGTGACCACAACATGATTGACTTTTGTCTCAACATACGTCCACACAAAAATCATCACAACGACAAAATCCCCAATTATAATTTCAAAAAAGGCAGCTATGATCTTATAATCAACTATCTCTCTTCCCTTGATTGGCAATTTCTATTCACTGGATGCAATACTGTTGAAGACCATTACAACATATTCTTACTAGAAATCAAAAGAGCCATCAAACTATATGTACCAATAACAACTCCCAAAACCAGGAAAAACAGATTACCCATAACAATAAGGAAGCTTCAATCCAAAAAGAGATCACTTTGGCGAAAAAACAAATCTGGTCACGTTGTCAACTTCAAAAGCCGATACAAAAATCTATGCCACCAGATAAAAACTGAATGCACTAATTATCTCATTAAACAAGAGGAAAATCTTCTACGCACAAATTCCACCTGTGCTTTCTACAATTTTGTAAACAACAAACTAAAAGACTCAAGGTCCATCCCACCCCTGAAAGGACCTAATGGCAAAGACTGCAACGATGACACCATCAAAGCAAACCTCTTTAACACATTCTTTGGCTTAGTATTTGCAAACAGCAATGGATCAAGCCCAGTACTTCCTAGTCGAACCACAGACAACTACAATGATCTAATACATATCGATTTTACAGAAGACATTGTTGAAAAAGCATCGCGCAATCTAAAAACATCCCTATCTATTGAACCAGACAGAATATGTGCCTACTTCTTAAAAAAGCTATCCACTGCCATAGCTGAACCTCTAAGCATAATCTTTGAAAAATCTTTCAGGACCAGCTCCTTGCCAAAACTATGGTCACAAGCCATGGTCATCCCCATCTTCAAAAAGGGAGACCCAAGCCTAGTTGAAAATTACAGACCAATCTCCTTATGCTGCATCACCTGTAAAGTCATGGAATCAATTATTAACCAATCCATTATCCTCCACTTAGAGACAAACAACCTACTCTCTAATAAACAATTTGGTTTCAGAAAAAAACTATTCTGTAATCTGCAACTCTTACACTGCAAAAACATATGGACTACACAACTCAATCAGGGCAAAGCAATAGATGCAATCTACATCAACTTCTGTAAAGCCTTTGATTCAGTGGTACACGACAAACTACTACTAAAACTAAAACCTTATGGTATCTCTGGACACCTACATAACTGGATAGAAGCATTCCTGTCAAACAGACAACAAATGGTCAAAATTGGAAGCGTCCTATCAAATTCTGTACCTGTCAACAGTGGTGTCCCCCAAGGCAGAGTTTTAGGACCAACTCTCTTCATACACTATATAAATGACCTCTGTGATCATATTAAGAGCAACTGCGTTCTCTTCGCCAATGATGTAAACTATTCAACACCACAGACAATACTACTACCCTCCAAAAAGACCTTGATTATGTATCAGAATGGTCAATCAAATGGCAACTTCAAATCTCAACAAATAAATGTTCTGTCTTACATATTGGCAGAAAAAATCAGAAAATAAAATACAAGCTGAATAGTTGTTGAGGATCCAAACTTTGTCAAGGACCTTGGAGTACTCATCTCAAATGATCTAAGTGCTAGAGCCCACTGTAACTACATAGCCAAAAAGGCATTAAGAGTTGTTAATCTAATCCTACGTAGCTTCTTCTCTGGTAATATCACACTACTAACTAGAGCATACAAAACATTTGTTGGACCTATACTTGAATACAGCTCATCAGTCTGGAACCCATATTATGTATCTGATATTAACACAATTGAAAAAGTCCAGAAATATTTCACAAGAAGAGTTCTCCGCTCCTCTACTAATTACAGAATACCTTATGCCACCAGACTTGAAACTCTAGACCTAGAAAATCTAGAACTACGATGCCTCCAGTCCCATCTAAATATAATATATAAAATCATACATTGCAATGTCCTACCTGCAAATGAATACTTCAGCTTTAATCATAACAATACAAGAGCACACAGTAGATACAAACTCAAGATTAACTGCACTAAACTTGACTGCAGAAAATACGACTTCAGCAACAGAGTGGTCTATGTTTGGAATACTCTACCTGACTCTGTGGTTTCTTCCCCAAACCCTAAAAACTTCAACCTTAGACTGTCTACTCTTGACCTTATCCCCCTTCCTAAGAGGCCTGTAGGGGGCGTGCATAAGCGCACCAAACGTGCCTACTGTCCCTGTCCTATTGTGTTTTTTTTATTTTTCTTATAAGTATCTATCTCACGTATTCAAAACTATATTTATTCTTATACCTGTATTTTGTAAGCGATTGACAAATCAAATAAATACTAAATACATTCCATTATCTTTCGGTGCTTGCTTAGAAGGAGCCACTTTTAGCATGGAAAGAACAGTTCTCATGGTTTTACTTGTTAAAACTGGCTTATCTGGCCTTCTCAGGAAAAATAAATAAATCTCATAGGTTGAAATATGTTCATTAATAATATGTGACAGTGTAATGGTTAGGCTGGTGGACTCTCAATATACTTTATTTAATAAAGTTGATTAATTAAATGTATATATCAACATCTCACTGTCAAGCAACATATAGAAGTGATCTTAAGTTTGCAGTCCTATTCTGTTAATCAGAGGGAATTTTTTTTTTTAATAAAGTTTTATTTGGGTTTTCACACACACAAAATACAAATAAAACGTCTTTTTTGAAAATAGCATGGTCCTGGGTTGAACTTCTTTATACAGACACAAACTCAATTTCATGCTCATTTTTGTGTTCTATTCCATATCTTACACTATTCTACATTTTCTATATAGTTTTTTCCCTCTTTTAATTTTCTCAATTTTATTTTGATTATCTCATCTCAATTCAAATCATTATATTTATACTTTTGTCTGTTCTTTTCAATTTCATATTATCTTTTCTCACTAAACAAATTTTCTCCTGTAGTTACTAATTGGAGTATGACACCTTTATATCTTTTAATTATATCCATTCAACTCTTATTTAAACTTCAATATATACCTTAAGGTTATGACCTTCAATATAATACATAATACATAACTTCCAACCGAATTCTGCTTGATACATTCTTATAATACACACTATATTCTTTTTAAAAAAATAAATATATGTAATTATAAACCCTCATTCCATTCCAATTCAGTTCTATCATTAATAATCATTAAAGTTTTAACATCTTTAACATTTCTTTTCAATTAAATATCATACTTCCTTAAAAACACATATAATCTCCATAATTAATTTTTCCCTTATTTCTCTTCACATATGTTTTGTAAATAATTAAATATTCATTTTGTTACATTTATTTATTGACAAGCATTCTACTAAGTTACGATAACTATTTTATCAAACATTTTAATCATACATTGTTTCATATTTTCTGAAATTATTTCTATTTCTAATATAACAATACTATCTTATGTACCTTTGCAGAATCCCTTTTTCCATTAGATTTTCACCCATTATCTCTAAATAGGCCCTGTTTCTCTATATTTTGTTTCTGTCCTTTATAACTTCTTTTCCTTTCTTTCTTCCCTCTCTTCTTCTCCCTCCCCCTTTTACCCCCTTGTCTCTACTTCTAATTCTCTATTCTGCATTTCCCTCTTCTGTTGCTTTCTGATTTTATTTTTCACTTTATTCTTTTTGGGGGTTGTTTTTCCCAATCTTAAACTTTCCATTCTCTTTCCCCCCTTTCCTTTTTTCCCCCTATCTAAGATTACTTGTTCATTAAAGATGGCTTCTCTTTGTCCCAATCTTCTTGTTCTGCAGGCATTTCTTGTTGTTTCTCATAATTCCAAATCTCCATTTCTAAGAACTGAAATACGAAGCCAAAAGAACCTCTCCCTTCTTGTGCATCTTCTTTGTACTTTTTAAGTTCCACTTTCAGTTCTTCTAAAAGTGGAGCCATTTTAAACAGTTTTAAACAACCACCCGATTGATTTTAGTCATTCAAATGCAATAACCAAGAATCCAGAGATCACCAAATAATCCAAATAGTCCCAGGCTGTTTCTTCTTATTTATTTTTTCACTTTCTCTTCCTGGGGTTTTACTATTTTGTTGCGATGTTTCAGTTAAGTTGTATCTTTTGGAAGTCTTGTTGAGATTTTGCTGTAAGTTCTTTTTAATTCCAGGCAGTCTCCTCCCTTCCAGATCCTGCCCTTTTATTCTTTTGCTCTCCTTTCCTGTTTTCAAAAGCTTTTAATTGTCCAGAAATCTTTATTATCCCTTTGACTTTTTATTTTCAACATTAAATGCCTATTAATGTCAAAGTGGATTTTTTTCCAATTTCTTGCTTAAGTCTCTTAGCTGTCAGTATAGGAAGAGGAGAGAAAAACCAAATCCTTTCCCTTTTCTCTCTCCTTCGCAGCTTAGAAATCTTCTTAGGGAACAATGTTATTGGTTTTTTTTAATAGATTCAATTCCAGGATACCTTATTTGTTGTTTTTGCTATTTGACCTGGTCAACCAAAACTTTCTCTTCTTATCTTCCTCCCGCACATTCTTTTCCGGTCAAGTTCTTCTTTGTGGTGGCCATTTCTGACCACTGCTACAACCGCCTTTGGGAAGGGGAGTAATGGCCAGCTGGGGAGGAGAGATGCAGCTCTCCTCAACCCTGCAGGCAGTCTCCCCCTTCTTCACCACCTCTACGGGGTGGCTTAGCTCCGAAACCAGCCAGCTCGGGGTGCCAGCAGCGAGCACGGATCGAAACCGTGCAGAGATGCGGTTTTGGTCTGTCGCCGAAGAAGCTCAAACCGGAGGCCCAATCAGAAGGAAAATTGATGGAACTCAGGCTAGCTTTCCTTTCAGTAGATCTCTACAGGACTGCACTACTCAATATTTGTTTTAAATTTTTAATTTGAGGGTTTCTGGCTACAGGATAAAGTCTAAATTAAAAGTCAAAGCTCCGGGTAAGGGCAGAGTTCGGATTTGGTGCTCAAACAGTCATGTGAAGTTCCCATACTTTCCTGGCTTGGCTACCTGATAGAAAGCTGAAGTAGCTTTCTTAAACTTGGATGTGTTGTGCATTATAATTCCCATCATTCCCAGATAACTCTGGACAGGGGAATGAAGGTTATATTCCAAAACAACTGGAAAGTGCTTGCTTGGAAATGGCTGAGAAAGGATACTGGATTTTTGTCAGATAAGCTTAGGTTCAAATCCTCACAAAGTTTACTGAATAAGTTTGGATATCAGCCCAACTCACAAGTTTGTTGTAAAAATGACAATGAATAAGAAAGCTGCATTCATCACCTTCAATTCCTTGAAAAAAAGCTGAGACAAAAATCAATATGGAGTAAAATAATATTGAGGGGATCCATTGAATCCTATATGCTTTCCAATACATTGGCAAATATCCATCCCAAATATCAAACAGATTTTCTGGACAAGTTGACAATCATAAATGAGAGAATTATTTATGAATATCTTTTTGTTTCTAACACAGGGCTTCCATCTCCACCTATGAAGGTTCATGTTCTGAGTGCAAGAGCCCACACAGTGCTGCTATCCTGGGTCCCAGGGTTTGATGGTTATTCGCCTTTCAATTCCTGCAGTATTCTGGTAAATAGAAAATCATATTTAACATTATTGTAGTGCTTTTTGATGTGAAGTTTTATATAATGTTTACTTTTTTTTGTTTTCAACAGCAAGGCTGCAGAATAAATAATTGCTGATATTCTCCTGAGTGTATTGGGATTGCACTCTTCTTTTTGCTAAACCAGCCTTCCAGTTGCAACAACCCCAGTCAGTGAAACCAAGGGGCCATCTTTTATTGGAATGATGAAAAATATGATCTAGGAAGAGAGGAGATAGGGAAAGCTGGTTTGGTAAATGTAAACAGCTCCACATCCTGAAGGTTGAGATGAACATTAATAATAGCAACAACAACAACATCTTAGCAAAAATAATGAAATTCCCTGACAGCCTTCCTTCCTTTATCCTTTCTGTTAAGTGGGAATGAATTCTTATAGACATTTCATTAGTCAACTAGGTATGCTAGAAGGGAGTGGGGTTTGTTCTCTGTTTATATACAAGTAATTTGCCCTGTCAATGTTATTGGGAATGTTATTGGTAGTTCCTTTATTAGTCTGTTGTTTATTGTTTGATTGTTTGTCTGAGTTAGTGATTCCTTAATTGGGGTATTGTTTACTGCTTGTAAACAATAGCATTTTTTAAAAATAGCAAAAAGACCAAAGCTCCTCCTTGCCAACAATCAGCATCCAGATAAACAGAGATTAACACGATTAATACCTGACCAACAATCGAGTAGTCCTTGGCAAGATATGAACAGATGTAGCTTTTTGCTGCTTTTAAAGAGGACAAGTCTGTAGGGATCACCCCCCCTGCAATGAAATGTGGGCCTTCAAATGTTGGCCTTGAATCATGCCTACTCTAAAGAGTGCATGCAGATTTCTAGATATGGTTCTAGTGAATCATGGTTGAAGCCATGAAAATGAAGCTGGGGCAGCTATTGCAATGCTGATCCATCTCTCTTAGCATCCACTCTACTCACAACAAGCATTTGCATAGGATGATAGGTGTCAACTTTTGTGAAGTCTCTGTATTTTATTTTATTTTTGAAACTGTGCCCCACTCACAAGGTCCTATTTTTTTCTTTCCCTTTAAATGTTTTTACTTCTTGCCAGATTTTTTTTAACCACATTATCTGTGTGGGCATGTTGTTTATGCTGGCTTCCAAATGCCCTGCCTTTTCCCCACTGCTATTGTGTTTATTAGGCTGGTTTTAACTGCATTCCACATTCTGATTACTGGAATGTTTGCTGTATAAGCTCCTCAACAAATGAATTAATGAACTTTTTGAACATCTATCCATTTTCCTTTGTTTAGTATCTGTTCTACAGGATTCCTGTAATTATCAAAGGGGGAAAACATAGAAATAATCTAAAGTTGCATAACCTTAGGCAGTAGCCACTTAACATTTAAATAACTCAAAGTGCTGCTATGTACATTTTTGTACACAGTCCAGCCATGTCAAGAAGTGTGGGCTTCTGTATAAATAAGTACTCCTCAATCATTTTTATTTCTACTGAAAAGTGGGAGACTTACTTCTTCTTTTTTGGCTTCTCTGAGACTTGGGTTCACAGTAACTGTTCTTATTTGTGAGATTCCTGGAAGAGAGGTCTGCTTAACTTAACTCTTTGAATTCCATTAGCTTCTGGTGAATTTAGTGTAATTATAGATTGAACAGGATTACAGCCTTAGGCCAAATTTAATCCCAATTGTAGCACAGCAGACTCATAGAAATCAATTCCATAATTTCACTGCGCCTACTGTTTGGATGACCAAAGTCTGTTTATCATTCATAAATGATAAAGGAGGAAGATATTGCTTGTATATATTTTGCCTGAAAGGAAGCAGAAAGAAGAGCTTTATATTCTGAAAATATAAAAACACAGCAGGTATTTGTATTGGTTACTGTACTAATCTCTCTGTGCCCTTATAAAGCTGTGCAAAAAGATATCTTACCTTTATAACATTTCTTTTTTTGGGAGAGAATATGTCTCCAGGGTCACCCAGTACACTAGAGGTATTAATGGAGATTAGAATGGTTATGGTTCATCTAGCTTTTACAATGCAATAGTGGTAATAATTGACAAAGCACATTCCCTAGTATATTCAGAAATTATTAGCTTTTAGAGAAGAAAATGTTGTGCAAAGAAAACATTTTGTTACATATATAGGGTCTAATGTTCAAATTACTTTGGGGGTTTTATTACATATATTTATGAGTAATATATAACTGAGCTTTAACTCTAGATGCATCCTTTTGGTATCTGAGTTAGGTTTTCATTTTGGGACTCATCACTTTGGGATATTTGCTGTGTTTTTTTAAAATTATTCTCATATATAATTTTTATTACAGAAGGTCTTTTTACCACAGACTAAAAATATAGTTTTTAAGTTAAAGATAAATGAAGAAAAATAATAGAAAAGTGAAAAAGTCCTCAATGTCTTCAAATATGGCTGAGAAAAAGATTTATTTGAAAGCCTGAACCTGCTGCCGATTAGTTGGATTAGCAGTCTAGTTCCCTATACTGTTGAATGGCTTCCCATGTCTACTGGTTATTAGCTGAGAAGTATCTCCAATCTCTTGATGTTAGTTGTACTGTGAGAAAAGTCTAAAACATCTGAATACTACATTTGAATAGTTTGGATTAAGGCCATTGCTCCTTATTTCTTTTGTGACTGTTTCTTGACAAATGGAAAACTCCAGAGATGGCAAAGTAAAAACTGCACATAGACAGAAAGCCCAATTCCTCAAAAGAAAATATAAGGGCACAGAGTCACTTCCGCAGAGCAGGTTTGTAGTCTTTGAGATCATGCTATGGTTTTAAATAATTGCTTCATGCTGCCAAGGAAGTGCCTTTCCTTGTTGATAGCCAGGCCTCATCAGCATTTCCTGAAACATGATTCATTCCATTGAGTGGCCTGGACAAATGTTTTCGCTTTTAGTACCTAAATGAAACTTAAGGAAAGATTTCCTGGCAAATTTATGTGCAGGTGAGCCTAGCTTTTCAGTTTCCTTTTATATGATACTGGCATAAAGTCCATTTAAGCCACCCTCATTACCTTTTAACTATTCTGAATAAACAGCTTTTAGGGACTATCACAGCTGGTGGAAAATGCCGTTCTTTTTCCGGATGTCATCATGTTGATGGTATTCATACTGCATTGTTACTGAAGCTCTGGCAATAGATTAAAGAATTTAAAAAATAAGCCTCATTCCAAATGTTAATATTTTATATTAACTATTACATGCACAAATGAAAACTAGAAATAAAATTCTGAGCCAGAAAGTATAAAAAAAAATCAAAGTTAATTTTTAAAGCACTGTATGTAAAACATTCAAAAACTGGACTAAAATTACTGAAATGTTGATCTTTTAAAAGGTATCATGATTTAGTTACTATGTTTAAATCAAGTAATCTCTTCCACCTCCTTTTTTACTACATGGAGAAAATTAAAAGCCAGAGGTATATATTTATATCTCTTAGAAATGAAACAATCCAAAAATAGGAACAGCTGGTTATAATTACTTCTCCATTTACTTGTCAAAGCATCTCATAGCACTGTTGAATGCTTTTTATGCTTTTCTTTACAGAGGGTACAATAGTATTTAATGCTATTATTTATTGAATGCTGCAAAGGCTGAAAAGACTGAATTGAAACGGTACCTATTTTTGTGCATGCTTAAATGCATGTGTGTATGTGTGTGTGTGCTCAGGTATGGATTGGGAATCCTGTGAAATGTATCTTCCCTTATTCACTAAGACATTGAAATGCCTATAAAAGGGAGCCAAGCAGTTTTTCACTACAAGTGGGAATACGAGACAGTGCCATCCTTTTACTCTCTGATGACCTCCATAGTCAAATCTGATTGGCTAAATAATTATATGACCTTGCCTCACTGACTGTTCCTGATGGCCTTGATGTGTCTCCTGAGAGAATGGCCTCCCTTACATTATAATTGTATAAAGCAAGTTGCCAAAACCTGTAACATAATGGAGTACAGTACAGTGGTGGGATTCAAATTTTTTTACTACGGGTTCTGTGGGCGTGGCTTGGTGAGCGTGGCTGGGGAAAGATACTGTAAAATCTCCAGTCAGAGCTGGTATTTGCCGGAGAACTACTCAAAATTTCTGCTACCGGTTCTCCAGAACTGGTCAGAACCTGCTGAATACCACCTCTGGTACAGTAGCAAGTAAAAGGCAATGAGTTTTGTGGGAGTCATAGAGAACCTGAATATATGAACATTTTGGGCTACTTCCTTCAAAACAATTTCAATCATAAACCTAATTCCACCCGAGTCTCTTTGACTTTAGTTCTAATCAACTTTTGTAAAAAAACAAGCAAAGTTTAGATTGTTAACAGCATTACTTTCATTTACTGGCAGGACTCCAGATAGGCCCAAGTCATTCTTACAATCCATCCAGTGCTCATCATGGAGGAGTACCCTTTGCTGCTTTTTGTTATCAAAATGCTTTCTGTCAGCCCTGGCAAAGAAGGACTCCTCAGCCACCTTCTTCAAACAGAAAATTAAGCATGGATAATTGAAAAGATACTTTCAGAGCATTCTTTCCTTAACTGTATTTGCTTAACATTTTTTAAACTAGGTAAAAGAAGTCGATGCACCAAGTAACACTTCTACGATGACTTTTAACACTTCTGTACCACCGCATGAGTATCTTATTCAGAGTCTATCAGCCATGAAGGATTACAACATCAGTGTTTCTTGTAGGAATGAAGTAGGATGGTCAAGCCTCAGCCCTTGGATTATGGCTAGTACAACTGAAGGAGGTAAGAATTATCAACAAGGCAGCATGATGGTAGCGAACAGATGAATGAAGGATCGTTCTCCAGGATATTTGCAGTAGGTCAGCTAAAATTTCCGATGCTCTATGGTTTAACAATAAGCCCCTTTCTTCAGTGGTGGGATTCAAAAAAATTTACTACCGGTTATATGGCGTGGCTTGGTGGGCGTGGCAGGGGAATGATACTGTAAAATCTCCATTCCCTCCCCACTCCAGGGGAAGGTTACTATAAAATCCCATTTTCTCCCCATCCCACTAGCCTGCTTTCCAGCTCCATTCTCCTGTGCAGGGCAACAAAAGAAGACCCAGCCGATCAGCTTGGACTTGGGAGGCAGAGAATAGATGGGAGCGGGGCCAGTCAGAGGTGGTATTTGCTGGTTCTCTGAATTACTCAAAATTTCCACTACCAGTTCCCCAGAACTGGTCAGCACCTGCTGAATTCCACCTTTGCCTTTTTCCTTTAAATTTGTGTACTGAAATAAAGGCAAGGGCAAACAAAAATAAATGTGGCATGAAATGAGACAGATGCATATTCCAGTCTGTACAAACAAATCTCTGGGCTGATTGAATGCCCAGAGGCACTTTGTTCTATAGAGCAATATTCTCTTTCCTAGCCACAATTTTACATTTGATTACAATTGGTGGCTCAATAATGAGCCTCTCCTATTCCCATGCCTATTCCATTTTGTTAATATATGACTATCTGCACAATATTATGCAAGTAACATATATAACTCTTTAAAAAAAAACTTTCTAAAATGAAAAGCACTAACAAAACTATGGACTCAGTAAGATAATGACCTACAAGTAATTATTTTGTCATTTACTTGCTTTTCTTTTTGAATGATACATACGCCGTTCCTCTGGATCTTTAGTACAAATTGTTCTTAATGAAAATATATGTTATGATTCTGCTATTATTCATAGACTATAATTTAGGGAGGATTGAACATATAGAAAGAGATGTAGGAAAATACTCATTTGTAAAAGGCAGCCTGCTAAAATTCCCGCCCCCCTTTGATCTAGAGAACCAAGCCAGTAAATATTGTTTTTATTCCTGTTGTTTCTTTTTTTCTGTTTCCACCCAAAAGATTAATTTTATTTTGTTTGTTTCTCTGTTCTGTTCTTAAGCTCCATCTGGTCCCCCTTTGAATGTCACAATCTCTATAAACGAATCCAGTTCTTCAGTAATAGTCAAGTGGATTAAGCCTCCTGCTTCACAGATGAATGGTAAACTTCAGAGCTACAGGATCTCTCATGTGTGGCAAACATCAGAACGATCTGTACGTATGAATTAATATCAATTAAATAGTCAACACTGGCTATCCCAAAGAAAGGATTTTTAAAAAACACGAACAACTGCCAGCCTTTTAGGTGCCATAAGAAATATCATGTTATGAATACAAGCTATTTTATCAAGAATCAGACTAGATCCATCTAATTATGCCTTCTATCCTGTCATTAGCTACAGCTTTTCAAAATCTGAACCAAATATCTTTTTCCTTCCCTTACACTTGATCTTAGCCAAAAATCTATGAAGCAATCAGATGTGGATCACTTTATATGATCCACATCTGAAAGAAAGCTTTACATGCTTTCTTATTTTTTGTGCCTCGTGCTGTATGATATAAAAGGAAATGATCAATGAGAAATTGTGTCAAGAACATAAACTATCCATTTCTCTCTTTCTGATTACCTCCTTTTTTATTCTCTCTCCGAGATCCTCTTTCCACAGAGAGCAAGAACCTTGAAAAGAACAGATAGTTCTTATATAGAGTAATCAGACTTCCCACAAAAGAAGGACATGTCATCATTTTTGTTCTCTTATCTCTGTCCAGCAGGCATGGCCTTAACATCAAATATTGTGCATCTTCTTGAGTATCTCTTCCTGAGCAGTTTTTCTCCTTGGTGTAATGCTTTCCTAAGAAGTCTTAATTGCAAGTTAAGAATCTCAGCTCTTTGACCTTAATTACAGTTACTCCTTGAGTTAAAATAGCAATTGGGATGATTGCTGAACAAGTAACCTGGGGACTAGCTATAATTGTTTAGTACCATCCAGGAGGCTTGCCTGCTGCCACAAATTGACAGGATCTTAATTTATTATATGCTGAAGGCTTTTTGCCTCTTAATTGCTGTGGCAGATTCCTACAATTGAAAAACCAGTTTTATTGATGCTGGAAAAGCTAATTCCATATATATGATGGCCTAAGTACTTTTTTTAAAAAGTCCTTTGAATGAAATTGGTCATACAAGTTCCCCTTCCTGGTTTATGGACTCTGTTTCCTGAAGCAAATTCCTCTCCTGTACAGGTAATCCTTGATTTATGACCACAATTGGGACTGGAACTTCCATCACTAAGCGATGTAGTCATTAAGTGAGATATCACAATGCCATGCCCAATTCTATTTTTTTTTGCTATGGTCATTAAGCAAATCACCATAGTCACTAAGTGAATCCAGCTTTCCTGATTGACCATGCTTATCATAAACTGCCTGAAAAGATTACAGATTGTTATATATGATCTGAGAAACTGCAACCATCATAAATATATGCTGGTTGCCCAGTTCCCAAATCGTTATCACGATCAGAGGGAATGCTGTGATAGTTGTAAGTGTGAGGACTGGTCATAAATCACTTTTTTCTGTGCTATCATACCTTTGACTTGTCACTAAATGAATAGTAAATCAAGGACTACATGTACATCTTAGCCATCATAAGGGATATCATGGTGAATGATAGCTAACTCCTCTCATTTTATTTACGGGGAATTGTTTAGTATTACAGTAATCACATCAGATTAGTGCTGACCTCTCCTTTAACTGTATAAACAGAAATGAATCCCTTTGCCATTGAGATTGCAGTCACAAGATTGAGATTACAATCGTATATTGCATTTAAGATTCATTATGGCCCACCTCACCGCTTTATAGGAAAATTCTGCAACAATGAATTCCTTCCCTCTAGTAGCCTGGCTGGCCTATTCTGTTCCAGCTGTGGCTTCCAAACTATCTTCAAAGGCAGGCAGCCCTGTGTATGCAATGGGCTGTGTATGCAATACAGCCCTGTGTATGCAATGCAATAATCCAGACACAGGATGATAAGTCGCTGTTTACTTCCAGATGTGTTTTGGCATTGTGCTTTTCAAATAATGTTATTAAGCCACTTGAACCTGAAAATGTTGCATAGTTGGGAATCTTCCTCCAGAGACTTTTCGTCTCTGAGTGTGGCCACCCTCAGTATTGTGCTAAATGTGTTATACAACAGAGAAACAACGGCTATGCTACAGAAATGAGTTTGGTTTGCTGGATGGGGGGGGGGGGGGGGGAGAATAACTGGTGTTTTTTTACATTTCTTTACCCCAGATGACTTTATTTATCTTAAAGTTAATTTTCTAACCCAAAAGTGTAGCACATTGTACATTCATCAATGTGGTATGAATATCTGCTCAGAGTTTTATCACACTGAGCTATTTAAATATGGTACGTTTTCCATAAAAGATTATTTATGTTTGTTTTCTGTAAAACTTTAGCTTTCTGTTCCCTTTTTAAGTAGTTCATTTTAAGGATTTAGAAATCACAGCATAAAGATACTGAAATCAGCACAGTAGTGTTACAGTCTTCTGACTAGCACAGAGTAGAGACGCTAACTCAGCAACTTATATTACAGATGGTAAGTTAAAGGTTACTTCCTGATCCTCAGAACAAGATATAAATCTGTGTATCTAGTTTTCCCAATAAAATATGCAATGTCAAAACTTTTTCATATATAGATTTATCTTTTAATACAGTTCATCCCCAAATCCTTTTTTTTTTTTTTTTGCCTGATCAAAGGTTAGACATTAACTGGGAATCAAACTGGACTGGCAACTGAAACTGATTTGGGTGCTAATGACAATTTAGTCTTCTCTGTGACATTTAAATGCAAGTTTAGAGAATTCTGAGCAATTGTGTGTCACTTGTTCCCTCTCTGAAGAGGCTGCCCCATTCTCCAGTTAATAGGACTCAGCCAGAAGTATCCAACACAGAGAATCCAATGGGTTTTGGTGTTTTTTTTTACAAAAAAGATGAAAACAAGCCTGATGTTGTTACACTCATTTTGTCCTTTGCCTGTCCTTTGACCCCTTTTGTGGACACTCCTGTGCTCAGCCTGCTCTCCAGTGTAATAAAGTTACCTCTGTTGTTTGTTTTTCATCCTTACGTAAGAGGGTGAAGTCAGTGTAGGTGAAATATTTTTAAGTTTGACTTTCTAAAGGTTTAGTTGGTGTTTAAGAAGAGGAAAAATGTATTAAGCAGAAAAATCTTTTAGATAAAATGGAGATGTATGCATTATACATTTGTATCAGAGGTGGTATTCAGCAGGTTCTGACCAGTTCTGGAGAACCGGTAGTGGAAATTTTGAATAGTTCAGGGAACTGGCAAATGTCACCTCTGACTGGCCCCACCCCCATCTACTCTCTGCCTCCTGAGCCCCAGCTGATTGGGTGGGTCTTCTTTTGTTGCCCTGCACAGGAGAACAGAGCTGGAAAGCAGGTTAGTGGGGTGGGGAGGGAATGGGATTTTGCAGTAACCTTCCCTCAGGAGTGGGGAGGGAATGGGGGTTTTGCAGTATCCTTCCCCTGCCATGCCCACCAAGCCACTCCAACAGAACTGGTAGTAAAAAAAATTGAATCCCACCACTGATTTGTATATGTACTGCTAACCTCAGAATTGTTAAGAGATTGGACATAACAGAATAACAGAGTTTGGAAGGGACTTTGTAGGTCTTCTAGTCCAGCGGTCGCCAACCAGTGGGCCACGGCCCACTGGTGGGCCTTGAGAAAATTTTGGTGGGCCGCAGAGAAATCTCACCCGCAGAGCACCTCCCCAAAGCAATTAATCCAAGCTGCACAGAAACACAAGGCTGTACCGCCCACATGGCCCGTAGGAATGCTCCCCGCCCACTCACTCCTTACCCGGCAAACTTGCCTGCTAAAATTGCTATTTTTCCTTTTTCCGACCATCATCTGTTCTGTGCCGGGAGATTTAGATTAGCTAGGAAGCAGGAAATGGTTGGATTTCTTGCTTTCTAGCTAGTCTTTCGATCTTCGGCTCTGCTTCCCTTAGGACTGAAGGTTTGCTTGCAAGCAAATTCAGTGCAGACTCACGGCAAGCAAATTTGAGAGACTGAGCTAGCCGATGGCAGATAGATAGATCACTGAATGGATTCTGTGATCAACTCAATCTGCCTGCTTTGCCTGCTTTGGGGTAAAAATTGCTTTTTTTATAAAAAAATTCAATATTTATATACATGGTGTGTTGTGAGTTAATTTTGTGAGTTTGCTTGCTAGTAAATTTTGGAAGTTTCCTTGCAAGCAAATTTTATGTGACACACTGATCTAGCCAATGGCAGATAGATAGATCTCTGAATGAATCTGTGATTCTGTGAGCAACTCAATCTCCCTGCCTGCTTTGCCTGATTTTGGGTAAAAGTTGCTCTTTTTTATAAAAAATTCAATATTTATATAAAGATTTATAATATTTACATACAAGCCATGCCCAGCCAGTCACATGACCACCAAGCCACACCCACAAACTAGGCCATGCCCAAAGAACCGGTTAGTGGTCCCTGGGATCTAAAATTATGAGTTTGGTGGTCCCTGAGGTCCAAAAGGTTGACGACCCCTGGTTTAAAGCAGCTCAGCTTTTCTCAGCCTTCAATGTGAAACTGGGAAAAAAACAGCTGCTGCTTTAAGGAGTCAGTGGTTAGGACTGTTAAAGTAGTAGCACTTTCTTTCAAACAACTGTTGTGAAAGAACCTTATGTGAGTTCTGAAGCACTTCCTCCAAATTATTTTTAAAGCATACACAATTCTTTCAGTTTCCCATTGTCTTCTGGGTAGATAGATACAGTTCCAAACAGAGTTCTGAGCTGCAACCACTGTTTCTAAGAAAGAAACCAATCCCAAAGAAATTACGTAAGGTCTTTACTGTAACTACAATGGGATTTAGATAAAAAGAAAAAGTCTTCATGTCCATTACGTATCTGATATTAGCACAGTTGAGAAAGTCCAGAAATATTTCACAAGAAGAGTTCTCCACTCCTCTACTCGTTGTAGAATACCTTATGCCGCCAGACTTGAAATTCTAGACCTAGAAAACCTTGAATTACGCTGTCTTTGGTCTGATCTAAGTATGGTATATAAAATCATACATTGCAATGACTTACCTGTCAATGAATACTTCAGCTTCAACCATAACAACATAAGAGCACACTGTTGTGAATCAATAAAAGTTAATAACTTAAAT